TCGTTAACACGAGCAATTTCTTCTACTAGCTTTTCTGCTAATAAACACTCTACGAACGTCCATCGAAAATCTAAATTCTACTAATTTGAAAGAACTTTGGTAGAACGTGGTTCCAGCGACGATTAGGCGAATTTGATCCGTTCAAAATCCCTATGAAAGCTCTTCGATCACAGTCGTGAAATCGCTTCCATGGATTATTTTATCCACAGTCTATTTTGCAAACAGTGCGCTAAAATATTCCATAAACTATCTCGAACATTAATTCGAAATAACCGATTTATAAGTCAGTTTATGAAGCGAAGTATGCATCATACTTAACGAACCGTGGTATTTCTCATTCGATGTCATTAAATATCGCAAATTACAACCCTTTGCGTGTTTATAGTCTCATTAGCGTATTTTATGGGCGTTCAGTGTTCAGAACAAACTGATCGTTCATTTCGCGTTGAAAGTTGCAATTGCGGATAAGTGGAAAGTGATTTCCAATTCACCACCACTCTTTTCACGATTCGTCGAAAAATCGGGCCATATTCTTCGTCCAAACTCGAGCCTTGTGTTCCTTGAAAATATTATTTTAAATATAAAATCGTTCGAGGAACGTCCTACCGATTTTCCTAAGCGCGCGTCTATCGTGTTTGGGAGTTTACATAATGCAGGTTTGGTCGTGTCTTACTTCAAATGCTGTTTTTTTATTTATCTTCGACGGCAACGAGACGTTCTCCAGGGTCGAAGGATGCCGTCACCCAACAAATATGGAAGGACGTGGACCGCGGACGCGAGTCTGGTTAATATTCGCGCGGATTAAAGGATCGGCCAGACGTCGCCGCGTTTCGCGCTTAATCCTCGACCCCGCTCTTCGCCACGTTTTCCTTTTCGTCTTTGTCCCGTTCTCATCCTTAGCTCTTCGTCCCCACTATTTTATTCTTCATTTTTTCATTAAATTATTTATAGATCGGAAAACCCTTCGTGCACGAAACAAATGAAACAAATCAGAAAAGAATATTAGTCAGAGGAGTCATCTCTTCGCGTAATCGACTAAAAAGCCTACTTTTTGCATTTTAGTTAAATTGAAAAAAGCACGAGAAATAAGGGAGAGGGAGTGAAAAATGAGAGAAAAGGAAACGGAAGTATAGCGATTCGCGACATTACGCGGAATCGAAGGCACGCGTGTGCGCGGTATCGCAACGGGCGGGGGCGGTGAGAGGCGGAGGAACGGTCGGGGGTGAAAGTGCACGGCTCGGGATGAGAGAGTCATAAAATCGAGCGAAGTGAACGCCAGGAGGGAGACACTGAGTGATGTCGGTGACAGCCGCCGCCTCTCTGCCCTCCGCCGCCTCCTGTCGCTATTATTCACCCAACGCCGAATACCATTCAAAGTTCGAAACCGCACGTTCGCGACCCAATTCCTGCGTGAAGTCAGCTGTTCGTTCGGTTCATTCAAAGCTCGATCGACCGCCGCCGCCGGCTGGCCGTTCCGTGGCCAAACGCGTCGAATTAATAACCAGCGAAAAAAGAAAGCAAAACAAGAATAAAATAAAACCTCGACGACGTTCGGCCGCGAGAAAATCGTCTACTTCGCGCCGCCATACTGCCGGCGACCAGATCCGGAAGTCGTCGGAAAACGATCGCGCGACCAGCGACCAACTCCTCTTTAAATCTTCGAATCCCTCGAGATTCTCTTTTTAATACAAATTCAGTGATCTCGATTTCAACCGTATTTATTAACAGGTTGACTACCGTCCTCTTCTTTCAAGTTCTTGATATTTTTCGAACTGAGAAACGAACCTGCATAATTTTAACAAAATCGGAATTTCCGGGTTATTATTCTTGGGCAAGTTGTTTATAACCACTCAACTCGATGATCACGAATATTTTTATCTACCCCCTTGGCCACTCCAAAAGCCAAGGGGTCATGACTCTGAACTACCGGCCCTCGAGGAAAGGTACTTAAATGGCACCATCTTGACTCCAACTATATTTGATCCTTTCTTTCCAGAGGGTTCAATATACTTAGTGTTATTTCTTTTAAACAATTCCTCCTCAGTCACAAGTAGGGGGTGTAATAACATCGTCCCCCTCACGCCAGAACTATAAACACACAACACGATAAATTGTAGAATTCAAAGTTCTGGCATTCTTACACCCACACTCAAGAATCAAGTTTAGAGTTTGAAAACATTTATGGTTTCCACATGAAGTATATAGAAGGGCGTACATAAAGTACAGGAAGAATAGAAAAAGACATTCGACGGTCCCAAAAATCATCTTTGCCTAAGAGGTGAAAGTTTCCACGTTCCAGCATAAAAGAAGCGGCGCGTCCTTTACGGGTGGGCGTTGAGGAAGCAAACGGGGCTCCGGTTTTGCGGTTGAGTTTTAATAGAAAATTTGTTAAGTCTTTTCGCGCGGGTGAGGAGAGCAGGCCAACGAGGCGTCCGACGGGCAGCATTTAGCGGAACGTCGTTATTTGTCAGGATCATCGACTGCGTTATTTCGGACGTCGAGGGACCGTAGACGAATTCCTTGCCAAGACCAGCGCGTTCCTACCTTCGCGACTATTCTACTATTTTTGGCGCGGGGTGTCTCGTTTGACGGTGGTGCGCGCGGAAAATTTCGGCGGCTCGCGCGCGCGGGGAACAGCACGCGGAAATCGTCGCCTCTAGCGAGAAGCTGCGTGCTCCGATACTTGACAAGACGAATCTGCAACTATAACTTAAGGTCAACATGCACGTTCCTCGTTAATGTTGTTAACGACCAACATTTGTGTCTATGTACCTTTGAAAACGAACACGGTTGCCCACGTGGCATCCCAAACAATTGTTAAACGTTAAGATAAAAACTAAATGGACGAGGAAATAAGTTCCTTAACTATAAAACTACTGGTGGATGGAATTTCTTGAAATCTTACGTTTTAATTAATTCCTGACTCGAACGTTGAGTCTGAGCAATTATAATTTCACTGTTCGCTGAAATAAGTTATTCTTATGCTCTTGTTACCAAAGAATATACATGTATTCTCACGACAACGATCTTAGAAATGAACAAAAAAAAAAATGTTATCAAAACCAAAGGAAGTCGTCATTCACACACATACCGAGTTGTTGAAGTGCAGCTATTAGTTGTGTGAGATATTGGAGCGCATGAAGCACGTAGATCATTTAATACGAGATAATTTAGCTCATACTCCGGGTAAATTGTTAAAAAGCCTCTTACAAGAATAATCTATGATCTGGACAAACGTTACTGTACGAAACTTCATTATACCTGTGGCTTCTGTTAGAGCAGCGATATCTGAACTTGTAGAGCTCACGGTATAGTATAAAATAAGATTCTAACGCTTTTGGGCACGTGACACAATTTAGAGATACAAATAAAAATTTTGAATAACCCACGAAGGATAAACAATTTTTGATCCGTCGTTGAACGAATGAAACCTTGTCTCGACAACTGTTCGATTGCATAACCGTCGATAATAAATCGTTGTACGGTGCTTTCATTCGTCATCCGTTATTCGAATAAAACCTTGCCACAACAGGCCGCTGTCACGCAGAGAAGAACCTATTTAGCGGCCTGTACGAAGGTATCGCTCAACAAACCTCTCGAAATCGACTTAAGTAGATCGTTATGTCTGTTCCAGTGACTGTACATCGGCCAATACCTGACACTGTTCAATATAATAGAGCTCGTTACAAAAGGTTCGCCTAGTCAGGGAAGGTCTTTCATTCTCTATTCGTTAGATAACTTGTGGTCGTCTCTTTTTGAACTAAGATTTCCTACAATGAGTGGTCATCATAGACGTAGAAAATTTGGATCTACTATCAAATTGATTTAAGTATAGTTCGATAACGATTTAGTCATCATTCAATAGTCTTCTTTTAGACAGTATCCGATAGTATTTGATAGCTAAAGCAACTATAGATCTAAACGAAGCTTGGTTTCATCCCTGCTACTCTCAAACCTGTTACTAAATATGTTGAAGCATGTATAGTTACGTATGAAACAAGTTCCTCTATCCAAGGAAGTCTTTCCATTCATTGCATCATTCATTCGTCCCCTCGCTAGCGTGGAGCGTTCCACTCGATGAGCGGTCATCCTAGACGCGTAACACACTCTAACAGCTCAAACGTTGGAGTAGCATAACGTGGAAACTGGGTGAACGTTTTGCTATACCTGATATATTATCCGAAACTGACTCAGCTATAACTCTACAAGTTGAGTAAGATCCCAGTTCTCAGTTTGACATCTATCATCATCCTCCCACAATTGTATTTGTTTCGAACAGTATCGAATGACATTAGCCGGTTAGAGTGTAGACGTAAGAGGTAGGCTAATTGTCTGACTCATTCATCTACAATCAGGATTCTTAATAAACTTGTTGAGGTGTACATATATGCTTGATATAAGATGGAAATTGGGTAACCGTTTTGCAGTATCTGGTACGCTATTCAAAAGTGACTTAATTATATCTCTTACAAGTTAAGTAAGGGCCCTGTTCTCAGTTTGACATCTGTCATCAATCTCCCATAGTTTTATTTGTCTGGAACAGTGTGGGATGACATTAGTCAACCAGAGAGAGTCTAATGAGAGTCTAATTTCACTGATACGTTCAGAATTTTTAATAGAGTAATCGACTTATATAGCGTTTAGTGGAATATTCGTCGAGGCAAAGAAGATGTTGGAGCGTTCCGTTCGGTTTGGCACGATGCGAGTACCCGGAACGCGGGAGTATCGGTGCCTAGGAAAGTCGTGTTCCGCTTAGGTATATAGGCGGAAAACGGAGTATTCTCCTCGCGATATCGTTCTCGCCCTCGTGTTCGTCGGTCTATCGTCGTCGTCGTCGTCGTCGTCGTCGTCGTCGTCCGTCGGCGGTCTCGTTGGTAGTGGTGTAGCGATGGCGGAGAATCCGGTGGTTCGCGATCTCGCCGTCGAAGCGCTGCGATCGTCGCACGGTGGTGGGGATGTGGGCGGTGTCAGGGGGCGCATTGGCCGCGCTCGGTGGGCGTGGTCGCGAACCTCCCACTCCTTGGCGTAGCGCGGCGCTGATTGACAGTTGGCGAACGACTGCGGACGGCGCAGGATCTAAAACCGCGCTAGGCGCTGCTCTCCACGCTCGCTCGGTTCGCTCGTCTCTTACCCGTGGATCTACCCGGTGCTTTTTCGTGGGGGAAGAACTCGAAACACGCATATTCCCGTGGCTGCCTTTGCCCGCCGGCCCGCGCGCAACATATACACCGACCTACCGCCTTCTGTCCGCCCGGAGTTACGAGTGGCACACGCAGTAGTAGTTACGGTCAGGGAGGAGGGTCGGCCGCCGTCTACGCGGACAGCTCTCTCGCGCGTCTCCTCTTCTCTCTCTGCGCGACACACCGGTTCGTTCAGTAAACGCCGCGAGGAGGAACGCGCTTCTTCTTACGCGACTCCGTCGTCGACGTTACCCTTCGGGTTTTTGCCACCGTTCCGCACGAGAGATATCAGTTTCGACGCGTACGCCGATGTGTGTCCATCGCGGCACGGTTTGGAAGAACCGCGCGGATCAGAATCGGGCCGCGCCACCAACGGGGGATCGATCGATCGCGGCAACGTCGCGGATTTAAAGCGCCCAAGTGTTGACTGTTTTCCACCGGGTGGCGGTGCCGACCAGCTCCGTCGAGACACGGTCACGGGTTCTCAGTGCTGACGGAGTCGCGCGCGCGAACGTCCACCTGTCCCCCGCGAGTGGAACCGAGAGCACCGACGCGTTGACTTGGCGCCAATACGCGCACCGTCCGCGAAGGATGTAAAAGCGTGCATCGACAGTGACCCATACGTTCTCTACGAAGGTGTTTTAACGTCGTTATCATCTGTGAAACAGTGCCGGAGCTAAGATAATCGTGATCGACGCGCACACGGAGTGGACAAGAGCAGCCCCAATCAGCTTAATCGTGATTAATAACGAGATCGTGTACGTAGTGAATATCCGTCGGTTCAGTTTCGAGCAGCGCGATCGCGAGTTGTATCCGTCGGTGATCCGAGAGTAGGTCTCGTCCGCGTATTGTATTCTTCGTTCGTAGTCCCGTTACACCGAGAGAGTCCACAGATAACGCTCGACAATCGAATCGAAATATCGAATCGGGAGCAAAAGGTATCCGAAAGTCTATTCAGGAGGACAGCGTGCGCATGAGAGACCACGTGCTCAAGCGATAGAGAGGATAATGTCGCGGCACTGACACGTCACGTCGAGGCAAGGTCTCTGGGCGTCTGGTCAGCGGTACTTCCGGCGTTGGCCGCGACGATGAGGAAGCACGCGTGTCCGGCCGTAGCCGTGGTCCTCCCGCAGCGTTCAAGCGCGCGAGCCGAGCTCTGCTGACGCTCGCTTCGATTCATCGCCGTCACAGCGTCTCGTCGCCGGTCGACTCGGATCCGGGGATCCTCGAGGGCCGACGGAGCCGCGAACCTCAGCATCCAGCAGCCCCCAGGCCGACGTTTCGCGTCCAGGGTCGGCGAACGACCCGTTAGCACGCCCAAGGACTCTCACTGCCGACGGCCACCAGCGGCGTTTCCCGTCTGTCTCTCGGTCCAGACGCGGCCGATCGCGCGATCATAAGTGCGACGAACCGGGCTCACGAATATCCGCGAAAAGTGCTGGAATCGCGTGTGTGTGTGTGAGAAGTGGTTATACTTGCTTATACTGTGGGAAAATACAGCCGCTACGGTGGCTCAGCACGCAGAGTTCCCCGGCGCGGCCAGGGCGTTCATGGCGCAGCCAAGGGTACGTCGATGATTTTACCATCGTTAAGGATAGGCCGTAGTCGCGAAACATTATGGCGGTTGATAGGAAAACTCAGTGATCTCCCGTTGTCCCGTGAATCTTCTCTCCGTCGCTTCGAGTGCCTCGGGAAACTAGAGAAATCGTATCCGCTTTGGTGTAACGCGTTCCAGACAGTACCAGAATATCGTAATTTGGTGTAGAAGTAGATTTTAGATCCTGTCCGTAAGAGTATACGCGTCCTTTGGTGCCGAACGATCGCTTAAACGAGAGAGTTTGCGAGAAATTGGAGCTTCTTAGGCATCTGTGATCCCAAAGTGTGAATTTTGACAAAAGTGTGAATTCGGAGCTCCCCTCGTACCGTGAATCATACTTGTGAACGTGGACGTTTCCGTCGGTGGGAGTGGAGAATGGTTAGACGACTAGGAAACCTTGTTGTGTAGTTGCACACTTCACTGAGTGCTATGAGAGTATCTCTGAAGACGTATTCTTGAATTGTAATACTTTTAACAAACTAATTAGAAATATTCTCACCGATTATTATCCTATGTTTGTTAGAGTTTATTAGAAATATTAGAATTTAAGACATTTTTTCAGTAGCTCAACTTTTATCTATCGCCATTATCACGAATTAGTAATCACTGTAAACATTTGTTGTTCTCTAGAAATATTACGATCCCAGAAAATGTCAAAAGTACTCCAAATTTATTGATCATTATTTTGTATGTACTACAACGTATACAAAATAATAATAACAAATATTTCTCTATTTACTCGATGAAAATATCGAAAGTGCTCCGAAGTAGGCAACCATCCTCTAAATTTGTTTTGGAGCAACGATACAGTTTAGATGACACCCATGATCAATAAGGCTGTCAAAAACGAATCCTCCCTTTTGACGGTTCTTTACATTTAAATACTCGCAAGAAACTTAAAATAAAATAAAACAAAGTAAAATAATAACGAGAGAAAATATTTTCTATTCCTCAGAAATATTACAAATCCCAGAAAATGATCAAATTTGTAATCGTAAATTTAAATGTAGGTACTAGGATCTTATTCGGAATAATAATCGTTAAAAATATTTTTTTTAAATATTGAGTGTTTTAAATCCGACTTGGGCGATTTTCCACTGAACGTCCAGCGTTTTAAACGGCACCGTGCGAGTTAGAAAAATTCTAGTTTCGTGGAAATCTGTGATCTCGGGGTGCGGGTTCTGACGAAAGTGTCCAATATAGTAGAATTCGAATTTGTCGACAAGACTGGTTGCACGCTAGTATGTTATTCAGTGGCCAACGAGTTTGTACACAGAGGAATTGATCGTGGAAGGACTTAGGCTGTTTACGTGAAATCTCGTTGTAATTGAGCAACATCGACGTAAACGTAGTAGCGATCCGAGACCAAAAGCGTAGAACCGTTTGAAGGGTGTCTCCGGTTGATTCATAAACATTTCTCCCATTCTGAATACCAGCGGTCGTGGGAAAAATTCCGATCCAAATAAAAAAGTCGAGTATCGAATAATCATTTGTCCGATGGAAAATTACAATCCGGAATTATACGGTCGAATTATTCCTCGGCAGATTATTGTAATGCAGTCGCTGGTGAACAAACATTTTGTTTATAAAACATCTGTCAAGCAACGTTATGCACAAGTGAGCAGCGCGAACTATGCATTTGCAATCAGATTATGTTAATAGAAGCTTATCATAATAATCGTTCAATCGATAAAACGTTACGTTTACGTTGCTGCGCAGAGATTTTATTTATCGTCGTCGGAATAGAATTTTTCGCGTGGGATGCAAAAATCGGTTTTAAATATTGTGTGAAAGTGTGGCGATGAGAATAGTAGCATATAGTAATAGTTTCTATGAAGTTTAAGAAAATAAATCGTTTCCCAGTGAATAAGTATCGCGTTGAAGTGCGACGTCAATGATGGTCGACCAAAATCGTAGAAGTTTTTGCGAGTGTCTCGTTTAATTCGTAAAAATATTCCAGTTAAATCGTTAATGTTCTGGCCTAGGTAAAAAATTCAAGGAACATCTATTTCGTCTCCTCTTCAAATTATAAATATTTCTTTTCGAATAAATGATAGTTATACAGCCATAGTACAGAATTTGTGAACATCTCTTGTGTCAAAGTATCGTGTACAATTTATCTCGTCTCTAGATTGTGAAAACTCTTTTCTAAATAAACAGTAATTATCTGTTACAAAGTTAGGAAGAAATCTGTCGTTTCCTAGTCGTGAAAGTGTGTCGGCGATGAATGATCAAAACCATAGAAGCGTTTGAAGAGTGTCAAGATATATTCATAGAACAATAGTTGTTCCCGAAGGCTAGGATTTCGAAGAATATTTATTTTTCTTCGTCTATGAGTCGTGAAAGCTCTTCTTAGAAAATGTGGTGATCGGAATTGTAAAAGTGTTTGAAACATGTTTGCTTTCAACATTCGTATACCCATTATATAGTTAAATTTGTCGATTGATCAGTAAACAAGAATCGTTTGAAAGTGTGGTATCCCCTTCTAAACAAACATGAACACAACTATTACAAAATTGAAGAAAATCGGTCGTTTTATCAATGTGTAAGCATTGCTTGAAAGCGTCGACGATCGACTGATAGAAAAATGTTTATTAAAATACAGGTTACTTCTCTAGTTTATAAAAATTCTTTTCCGAATGCACAATAATATACCTTTCATAAAATTCAAGAAACTAAAAGTCTCTTCTCTATAAGTCATCGTCGATGGATACTAAAAATCGTTCGAAGGATGTTTCGTAAACCCATTGCATTGTTATTATTTTCGCCTAGAAATTGGTAAGGAAATCCAGTCTGTCTGGACTCCAGATTATGGACATTCTTTTTCCTCCCAGGTAAATTCAGTGAAATACCGTGGAGTTGGAGAAAATCGGTCGTTTCTCGGTGAATAATCGTCGTATGAATCGCGGTGTCGAGGATCGGGAATTCGTCGAAGGGATTTTGGACAACCCGAAATTATCCTTTCATGCTCGGCAGGGTCGTGTTCTACGGAGATGCACGAGCGAATCGATATCGCGAGTGTGCAGGCTCTCTGTCGAACGCCCGCAGATATTCGCTGGAATTGATTACGATTCTTGTCGTCGACGGGAGTTTCGTTCACGCGAGGTTCGCTCGTTGATACCAGGCCATCGGTTAGGCGAACTTTTCCTGGCAATTTCCATTGGCTGGTCGTTGAAAAATTTGGAGCAACGCGCGGCTCTCGAGTCTCAGGGTCTCTCTTTGGTTGCCCGTCGGACGCCGATGCACCGTCGAATGGGATTCGATTCTCTTATCTCGAACTCGACGCGTCTCTTCGACGACCGTATCGATCGTTCGCGATCGAACTTTAGGAATATTTCAACGGGGGTCACGATTTCGAAAAGACGTTTCACGAGGAAAATAACCCGGTTTGGACGTAACGGAGCAACGCGCTCGAATCGAAATCGGTGCTCGCGACGAATTCCAAAAAGCGATTGTTCGTAAATTCAGTGAACGGAAATTGGGGATTTCCTCTCGCGATGAAAACGTTTTAAAGTATATTGTTTGTTGTACGATCCTGTGGTTGATCTGGCAAGCGACGTATACTTGTTCCTATGTTTTAGAAATAGAACAGGTACAAGAGAAATATAACAAAGCTTAGTTTTAATAATTAATCGAAGCACTGGGGCGGTATTCCATCGAATGTTTGTGTTATCTTGTCACAGGAAATAGTGCCAGCTCTTTGCAAATGTTTTCTGACATATTTTTCCTGATCGAAAAAATTACCAGTCCATCGGAGAAAGTATTGCGTCGAATAATTATTCTTCGACACAAATTTTTCGCGCGTCAGGGGATTACGATGATTCGAATTTATTTTTTCCCCATTCGCAGCGACGTCGACCAACCAATATTATCCCGAGAGTGAAAAATTGTGTTCCGTCGTAATTCAAACTTTCGTTGGTTATTGTATCGTGTCCTACAATAATTATTAGCTATGTTTTAATTTGATCGACTAAACAACAGAATAATTCAAATTTCAACTTTCTTCTCCTCTTGTAAAATCCAACCAGCCAAAACTGAGACGTTTAATATAGTAAAAATAAGGGCATAGAAATCAAATAATTACGATGGAAGCTGATATTACAATTTCGTTCGGAGCAACGTCGATGGAGTTAATTTTAAGGCCCGTGGACGGGTTTTCCGTGGCGTTTTTCCAATTCCAGCGAGGCGCGCGGTTTTATCGAGCCTCGACCAAGTGAAAAACGGTATCTGCGCCGATAAAGAGCTTTACGCGATCGCAGATAACCGGCAGATCGCTCGCGTGCCCGCCGATTTTCGTGTGACGGAGTCAAACACGAGCGTACGTCTCGTTCCAGGCGACGACGAGCCCCGCCGACGGCCTCCGGTTCCCCGCCATACCCGATATCGCGACGAAACGTTTCCGTCTATTTTTCAATGGGTCGCCATCGGCGAATTTCCTCGCTATCGTCGCGACAATTTCCCTTTTTCGCGATTCTCCTGGCAAAATTCTCGACACCCTCGACGGAAGTCGGCAGCATAATCGATTCGATGCGCGGAAGACTTCGGTGAAATAATTGAATCGTGGTTCGATCGAGAAAAAATTCTTTTCTTGGAGAAAAGTATCTTTGATTCTAAAAAGTGTGATGAAAGTGACACTTCAGCGAGGAAAATCCTAGATCCTACAATAATTACCTTCTGAGAATGTTAGAATTTTGATAGATGAAATAAAATTCGTGCAGTGGAGGGTTAGCTTGGAATTTTCTGAAAATTTTTCTGGAAACAGGAAAACCTTTTCCTGTTTCTGGAATCACGGATATGATAACGTGATAGAATAGATAGAGCGTTCACACACGGTATATGCGTACATATAAGTGCGTAACTGTCAGGAGCGAAAGGGTGAGAGATTAAGTTTTTAATTACGTGTTGAAAATTCTTGTCAATTATGTGCGAGCGACGCGGTCAGTGCGTCAAATCGTTAACTTGCATGTA